AGGACCTGTAGCCCAGGACCCCAGACCAGAACCTGATTTATGAATTCACCTGAATGCCTCCACCCTAGATTGCAGTCAGCTGTCGTAGGTGCGGCAAGCAGTAACCTGGAAGCATCATGCAGTGGAACCTTTGCCTCCTTGTAGGGGATCTCAGACCGGATGCTCTTAAGAAGCCAGATAAGCCTACACAAAGTGTTGGTAACACAGAGTGATAAATAGGCAGCTGCATTATCTTGTTTCTCCCGCTACTACTGTGCAGCAATATACCTAAAATGTAAAATTTTTCACCAGTGTCTGTCTCTCTCAAAAAAGTTTCCTTCTCTTCTGAAACTCAAAATTGTCAATTCTCAGTAACATTTAAAGCAATCGTTTCCTTTTTAATTAAAGTAAAGCACTGCCAATTATCAGCTATAGGAAGCATGAGGACATCACCAGAGCAGAAAAAGGCTTTAAAAAAATCTTTCACCAAGCATCCCCAGAGACCCCATTATCCACACTTTAGGCACTGCCATCTTTCCCCAAACATATTGTAGTCAAGGAGGGGAAAGGCTATAAATCACAGACCTCCAGTACCTGTGACTATGCTGTCTGTGCCAGTGAACTCTCTGCATCTACCCTTTGGGCTTGTTCACACCATATACAGTGCGTTCCAGCACGGTTAGCTTCTGGAACGCACTGTATCGCATCCTGATGGGCTTCGTGCATTCAGGAGCGGGAGGGAGTGTGACAGTGCATTAAAGTCAATGGCACCGCAGCCAAGCCCCACATCAATGCCTGTGTTCTGGTCCAGTGCGGTCTGAAAAAATAGTGCTTGCAGCATTTTTTCAGATCGCTGGCCTTCATGCAGCAACCATGTGACTGAGCTCCCAGGGATGCAGTGAGCAGGGCAGGAATTTAGCAGTTGGTGGGAGCAGCCAGGGACTCTAAGAAAGGAGAGGGCAATGTTCACTTTTCCCCAAAAGCGATTTGAGTTAAAAAAGCAAGGGCAGAGTATATGCTTAAAACGCTTGTTGAAAGGGTTAAAACAGATACAATTATTTGTTATTGTGTTATTAAAATGTCATGGACAAAAATGATGGGACCCTTAAGCTAGCCATATACTGTTCTATTTGTTTCGTTCAACCTGCGGGCTACAAGAAAAAATAGAGCTGGTTCCTCCATCAACGCTTACAAGCAGTTATCAAGGAATCCCCGTGGCAGCTGCCATCAGAATGCCCAAACAGAGCTGGCAGCTCTTTGGTTGCCAGCTCTATTCTTTCAAAGATTTTCTGACCAGCTCCTTCGATCAGCTGATCAAGGGATGCAGGCTAGACATGTGCGATGTTTCGGACGAATTTTCGGAAATTCGGAGATTCGGATGCATCCGAATTACAGCTAAGACGAATGCAAACTAATCAGAATTCCCAAAATTTGCTAGCGGTAGTCCGGCCGAAATTCTTTTATGGATGAAATTCGTTATTGGACGAATTTTGTTGCAGCAAAATGACATTAGGAAAAAAAAAATGAAATTTTTTTTTTACACTCTGCAGAAGATGGAAAAAAAAAAAGCGATGGAAAAAGCATGAGGTTCCCCGCCCCAATTCTGGTAGGAATTCCACCTTTAGGTCTGGTAGGAATGTTAGGAGGGACCCCCCCCCCCCCCCTCACACAACAAAAAAAAAAAAAAGGTTATGCAACCAAATATTAGGTTAAAGATGGCCATACATTATGCAATTTTAGGCCAGTGGGTATCGACAGTGGGTGTCCCTGTCGACACCCTTTTGGCCAACATTAGACATGTGCACCAGCAAAAAATGGGTTTCGTTTAGTTTCGTTTTGAAACAAAAAAAAAATGTGTTTAGTTTAGTTTCATTTTGATTCAGACTTTGCATTTTTTCGGATTCGGGTCCAAAATTAAATTAGTTTCGGACTAAATTCATTAGCGGTAGTCCGGCCGAAATTTGTTTATGGATGAAATTCTTTTATGGACGAAATTTGTTATTGGACGAATTTCATTGCAGCAAAATGACATTAAGAAAAAAAAAATATATATTTTTTTTTTTAGCGGTAGTCTGGCCGAAATTCTTTTATGGACGAAATTCGTTATTGGACAGCAAAATGACATTAGGAAAAAAAAAATGATTTTTTTTTTTACAGTCTGCAGAAGAAGAAAAAAAAGCGTGAGGTTCCCCCCCAATTCATACCAGACCCTTTAGGTCTGCAAGGAATGTTAGGAGGGACCCCCCCCCAGTTATAACACAAAAAAAAGTGCGTGGGGTTCCCCCCAAAATCCATACCAGACCCTTTAGGTCTGGTAGGAATTTTAAAGGGGTACACCAGCCCCCCAAAATGGGGGGGGGAAACGTGGGGTCCCCCTAACAGTCCTACCAGACCCCTGATCGAGCGCACCTCCCCCTACCTGCGCCTTACCAGGCCACGTGTCCCCATGCAGATGGGGGACAAGGGCCTCTTCCCCACAGCCCTGGCCCGGTGGTTGTGGGGGTCTGCGGGCAAGGGGGCTTATTTGCATCGGGGTACCCCTTTAAATAAGGGGCACTCAGATGCCGCCCCCCCATGTGAAGGAGTAATGGGTACTTGTACCCCTACCCATTCACTAAAGGGTTAAATCAAATAGTAAAAAGTCCAGACTTTTGACAAAATCCTTACTCATTCACATGGGGGGGCGGGTACCCCCGATGCAAATAAGCTCCCTTGCCCGCAGACCCCCACAACCAACGGGCCAGGGTTGTGGGAAAGAGGCCCTTGTCCCCATCGGCATGGGGACACCTTCCCAATGCCGAGGGTACGTGGCCTGGTAAGGCGCAGGGAGGGGGGGCGCTCGATCGCCCCCCCCTTTCCTGGCCTGCCCGGCCAGTGCTCAGATCAAGGGTCTGGTAGGACTGTTAGGGGGGACACCACGTTTTTGTTCCCCATTTTTTGGGGCTGGGGTTCCGCTTTAAAATTCCTACCAGACCTAAAGGGTCTGGTATGGATTTTGGGGGGAACCCCACGCACTTTTTTTTGTGTTATAACTGGGGGGGGGTCCCTCCTAACATTCCTTGCAGACCTAAAGGGTCTGGTATGAATTGGGGGGGAACCTCACGCTTTTTTTTCTTCTTCTGCAGACTGTAAAAAAAAAAATCATTTTTTTTTTCCTAATGTCATTTTGCTGTCCAATAACGAATTTCGTCCATAAAAGAATTTCGGCCAGACTACCGCTAAAAAAAAAAATATATATTTTTTTTTTCTTAATGTCATTTTGCTGCAATGAAATTCGTCCAATAACAAATTTCGTCCATAAAAGAATTTCATCCATAAACAAATTTCGGCCGGACTACCGCTAATGAATTTAGTCCGAAACTAATTTAATTTTGGACCCGAATCCGAAAAAATGCAAAGTCTGAATCAAAATGAAACTAAACTAAACACATTTTTTTTTTGTTTCAAAACGAAACTAAACGAAACCCATTTTTTGCTGGTGCACATGTCTAATGTTGGCCAAAAGGGTGTCGACAGGGACACCCACTGTCGATACCCACTGGCCTAAAATTGCATAATGTATGGCCATCTTTAACCTAATATTTGGTTGCATAACCTTTAGAGGCAATCCCAGCAAACTTAGTGCAGTTCATATCGCTCTAGAATTCCTTGATTGTCTTGAGGTTTCATTGTGCCCTGCACAGATAGAAGCACCCCATGCCATATGCAGAAAACCAGCCCCAAAACATAACCAAGCCTCCTCTGTTTTTCAATGTAGGTACGTGTTTCTTTCCTTTGAAAACTTTTTTTTTTTTTTGTCTGTGAACATTGAGCCCATGTGATTTGCCAAAAAGGTCAAGTCTTTCTTCCAAAGCACATTTTCCAGAAGCTTTGTGATTTGCCAATATGAATTTTAGCAAATTTCAGTTTAGCTCATTTATGTTTTGTTTTTTTTAGCCGACTGATGCTAAAGAAGTGATGGATGATGTGATCAGACACTGATACACCTTGACCTTGGGGTTCAACTAGTGTCTTTTTGGAAGTTTTCCTTGGCTCTTTGCTACCATTTGCACTACTTTTGTTCAATCTAGGGGTTGATTTTTCCTCTTATGGCCATATCCAGGAAGGATAAATACACTCCAGTGGACCTTAATTTTCTTAATGATATTTGCAACTGTAGTCACAGAAACATCAAACTGCTTCGTGATGTCCTTTATCTCTTTTTTCACACTTCTTTGCTTTACTCTATGACATACCAAAGGCATGCACATATACATGAGGCAATTGCTTTTCAGGGGGAATAAAGATAAAGCATTGTTTAAATGAACTGTGAGTGTACCAACATATTTGTTTGCGTCTGTGTAGTATATATTTATTGTGCTGCCACAATAGTTGTATAAAATATGACAATTCATAGTCATAGTTAATATTCACATTAATGTGAGAGGAGAATTTATATAGTTTATTTTCCTTAAGCCATCTGCTTATTGATATTGTATGGCTAATTAATATACTGACATCTTGTGGTCATTCTGGTTATAACACTGTTTTTCTGTGTTCCCTCCCATCTATGATGTATTTCCCCTTGTGTGTAATGTACCTCCCCTCTTCTCTACTAGTCTAGTGTCATGGCTGACAGTAACGTGGCCCCATGTTAATCTGCATTGCATGCTTGGAAACATTACTATCTCTGACCTTCAAATACCGTCTATTCATTCATATGCTGCATCCTGTTGTCTGCTGTAACTAACCTGCTGCATTCAAATAAAGCACCTCCATGTAGGAAAAGGTATTTGGTGAGTTCAGCTATCTGATAAGGATTGTCCGCAATGATTATATCTGCTTATACAGGCCAACAACTAAAATTGTCTCAAAATAAATATATGCCAAATTGATATAATAAGGAATGGTCCAATTACTGGCTGTAAAGGGTTACCAGATAAGATATGATGTACTTTTGATTATTCAGTAAGTATATCTTAATATTTTAAGATTCCATTGAAAGTAATACCTTAAGGTAATTTGTCCTGTGACAGTCTCACCTGAGGGGCTTCCTCATAGTTTTCCCCTTCTGGCTCCAGCAGAGGTTCAGCAGCAGGCTCTTCCAAAGCTTCTTGCCCTTCTTCCTCAGGCTGCAAAGACAAAAAACCCTGTTATTAGTGGCTTTTCTAGAATGTGTGTCAAAGCATGTGACATTAACTTTTTCACAAAGAGTTGGATTCTGGAATGACCAGTTCCTAATTAGATTTTCAAAAACATTTTTTACAGACTTTATATAGAGATGTTTTAAAAATTCCAAATATATCATAAACATTTTTTAATGTACATTCAGGTCTTCAACGTGCTGCACATAATGTGGGGACATGTCAAGCACTCAATTCATGCTAACATTGGCATTTTCTACATTTTATCTTAATAACAGTCCTTGGCTTTTTTGCTTTGTGGAATTATCAGAATTACTAAATTGTACACCGTGTACAAGCACAGCACAGGTAAGTTGTCCTATTTTCATGTGTTCTTAAATAAAAGGGTTTGTTGTTTAAAACATGGCGCTGTGCTTGAAAACTTTTAAGATTGTTTAAGATTCAATAAATTGGATGATCATACTGGGGCCCTTATTTTTCTTATGAAGACAAGATAATTTTATTCATAAAGAAGGAATTTGGGAAGAAAAATTGTTAACCCTTGCAGTGGAGCTACCCCCACACTGCAAGGGTTAAGTAGTGCTCATTTTCATTTAGGGACACAAATAACAAAGCTATACTGACATGAACCTCTGAGCTGGCTGGCTGCTACACCGGTCACTGTAGCCTCCCTCCTCCTCCTCCGCTCCTATGCCCCTCAAAGTCCTCACATCTGTTGTTCATAGTAGAGCTCTGACACACACACAGATTTGTTTGATCGATCAGAAACAATCGTCAAAATTCCACCACGGCTGAACGCCTAGATCAAGAGCTTAATAAAATGAACTAAAAAAAGGTCTTTGGTTTGATATTGTTATTCAGCTTGATCATTGTGGACACACTGGATGATCAGCTGAATGATCAAATCAATACATCTGTGGCCTCCATTAGTTAGGAAGGTTGAATGAGGCGAAAGGAAACACAGAGCTCACTCTAGTGGTTTATCCATATAATAATGGAATGCAAAAGCAATCATGTAAAAATTTAATTCACAAAACTTACAGTCATTATCCAAAATGACCCCCAACCCTTCTTTTCCCCTGTCTTGTCCCAGCATTATTATTAATTTTTTGTTTATTTTTATTATTTAACTTTGTACCGGTAGCAAGAAAAAGCTTTTTTTACTCCCTGGGACATCACCACTAGGGTTGTAAAATTCTTACAGGGGAAGCTCCTAAGAGCTTAGTTCCTATTAACAATGGCACGTCCCCAAAATTGCATCTCCCAAGAGCCTTTTGCGTGTGGACAGGCTCTTGGCAGTCAAGGCAGCAGCATTATTTTACTAGAAAAAAATCAAGGTATGCATGTGGCATTGGGCAGAGAAGGGTGGAAGGTGGTGCTCCATAATCCAGAAGGATGTCTGACAATGCTGGTTTACATTTAAGTGCTGAAAAGCACTGTGCTGTCAGCCCATACAGGATTTTAGAAGCACAGTGGATTTTTCGCAAATAACAGATATTTTCTCTACTAGAAGTGTTTTTAAAAGAATAAAACATGGGGACGTGTGCATGTATTACTGAATTTTTTTAAGGGGGGTGTTATGCTAACATACACTTTCAGGTAATAGCTTCACTAACCCAAAAAAAATGTACCCTATAGAAATACAATACACTTTCGTTTTGAGGGTAGTCAAATACCCTTGTGTTATCTTTTTTTCTATGGATCCATATTATTGCATAATAAAGATGTATCTTGGCTTGAGGTTATAAGGCCTGGTATGTAATATAATCTCCACGAAGGGGGGTCTGATTTGAAAATGAACAAGGCAAGCAAAATTGTGTGCAGGTGTAAGTGCTCATAGCAAACACAATCTCTGAAACTTTGTAGCAAAATAATCCACTCATGCACAATACACATGGTCCTACATTGCAGTGTATATTAAAGGAGAACTATGAGGTGAGTGCTTTTCACTCATCCTCATAGTTCTAGCCAACCTGTGACAATGAAACTGTCACAGGTCGGCTCAGTAGATCGGGAAGTGAGCGAACACATACCGGCGTTCGCTCACTTCTCGATCCTGTCACGGCAGAGAGCCGTGACAGGGAAGGGACTGGATTCCCCGCTTCGATCCTCCAGCACTGATTGGCGGAATGGACGGGGGAGGGGGCGGGTATAGCTGGCTGTGTCTCTAGATAGGCAGAGCCAGCTGTCACATAATTGCCGGGATCCGTTTCAGCTGCAGCGCCTCAGTATACCGCGAGCTGTGGCTCGCGGTATACTGAGCTTGGGGTGACGGGAGGACGCTAGTTTGTGTCCTCCCATTACCCTTCGGAAAACTATGGGGAAAAGCCCTAACCCCATAGTTCCCTTTTAAACATCCAAATAATGCTGCTTTTGTGCCTTCTGGCAACAAGGTTTCAACTACTAAGAAATAAATGTTAAAATTTTACCTTAAAATAAAGAAACAAGCATCATGATCACTCACTAATTAAATGTTGATGCACCAAGTAAAGCAGCAGTCCAATGAGACCCATACGCTGTGCTGTCAGTGCAAAAAATGTAGCGTATGTACAGGTATTTATAATTGTTCAGAGACACCAGCATAAAAAACACATAAGCTTGCTTTCTGTTGCTACATGGGGCATATATCTGAATTCCCATGTAACTACTAACAGAAAGTTAGATAGACTCAAAAACATTAGAGAAGATCACATTTTTATTTTAGGCACACAGCAACTTAGCTAAATATTGTGAGGATACAGTTTGGTTGTCCACACAGGATTGACGCAAAAGCATACATGCATTTAGTAAACCAGGCCCATTGTGACTTATAGAAAGTATAAATAAGACCGAGCTCTTACTTCAAGAATCACAAACCTGAACCAGAGAAAGAATCAGCATTTACATGAAAGCTTGGATCTAAAACACAAACTATCTTTATATGCCCCTTGAATTTCCATTTATTCAATGAAAGTGTAATAAAAAGGGCACAGCTATTTTACATAACTTTTGTTTAGTTTCCAATAAAATTAACCTTCCATAGCAACAATGGTAACACCTATAAAATGTGCCTAAAAACACATGTTGAACAAATGTTTAGTTTGATCAGTGGTTACTTGCCCAATAGAAATACACTACACTTTCTTTTTAACTTTCTTGTGTTGATCAGTGACTACTTACCCAATAGAAATACACTATACTTTCATTTTAAGGGTAGTCAAATACCCTTGTGTTGATCAGTGGCTACTTGCCCAATAGAAATACGCTATACTTTCCTTTTAAGGGTAGTCAAATACCCTTGTGTTGATCAGTGGCTCATTTACCCAATAGAAATACACCATACTTTCTTTTTAAGGGTAGTCAAAGCTATACAGAAAAGCTATGACTGTTCCAAATACAAAGGATACAAAAAGCAAAAATTGGGGCAGGGACAGCTGGTTCTGCCTCTAGAGAGGCTTAGCCAGCTGTCAGTCAGCCAGGGGTGGATCTCAACAGTATTGTCAGGATCCTTCCCAACTGCGGCCCAGCTCTGTGCTCCCAGCATATAGCAAGGAATAGCTCGCTTTATACTGAGTTTTGGGTCACTGGAGGACATTAGTATATAGGATTAGGCCATCGTTCCTTTTTCAAGGATGCATTTGGATTGGTTAATAGAGTTTACTTTGTAAATCTGTCCTCTTTGCACTGTCCTATTGAAAAAACTGTTACAAGCTTATTGGTTGCTGCGGCTCATGCTCACTGCATAAAGCCTTACAGCTCTTGTCATTACCGATTGACTAGGTGACAGGTCATCTCAACACCCCCAATCCCCATTAGTTCTGCAGGGCATGTCTGTGACATAGCCCTACAGCCTCCTACTCCAGACACTAAAGAAGCAGAAAGATCTTTGAGCCTGTTGAAGACTAACAGGGCTATTTGCTAAAGGATGAAGAGTTTGGAAAAGACAGAAGTGAACAATCTAGGGCAACATAGATGAACTGGAAAGTGAGCTGAATTGGAGAATGTTTCCAAATCAGATATTTTGGCCTAGATTTTTCACTTCTTCTTCCTTCTCTAAACCCTTCACCCTTTAGTGAATAGACCTGTAGACTTCAACAATGATTTTCCATCTTCAGAGACAAGGTAAGTAAAAAAATAAAGCAGGGCTTTCTCTAGAACTGTGTCCCCAGTTATTTACAAACACTGGAGTGATCAGCTGATCACTCCAGTGTTTGTCTTACACAGAGGATTGGTACATATCCCTGATATGTACCGATCCTCTGCCGCTCGGCCACGCACACAGGGGGGCTCAGCCTGCAACTTCTCCTCTGGATCCCTGCTGCTCTCCCAGGCAGAGGCAGCGGGGGATCCGAGGAGAAGTGAAGGAAGAACTTTAGCCACGGGTGCAGCGGCTGGTTCCCCGCTGCATACAGAGGCGGGAGAGCAGCGGGGAACCAGAGGAGAAGCCCCATGGCGAGAGGACAAGGACATCGCGATCTACCAGTGATCACTTTGTGATCACTGGTAGATCGCAATCAACCTAATGGGCACCCCTGCTCTAGAAGGTTCAGGGAGGGCAACAACTTGCCTGGTGATGGGATTAATTTCATAAAGCAATGTGCTACATAAATATAACAACCAATAGCAGCCACTCAGAAACTTTCTTTCATTGGCTCAACTTGTAACTTTTGATTTGTTGTTATGGTAACTGCACATCATTTTCCTTTGTGTCGCTCTAATCTGATTGGATGCTGTGGTTTACTGAACATTATTGCTTTCTGCATTATGTGATTAAATAAGAGCCTTGGGCCTTTATTTATAACACCAAAGAGCAATGAACTAAGTATTTACAGTATTGTAAAGCACGGTAATAAAATCACGTATTAATAGAAACAAACATGCCTGAGCAAACATCTTTTCTTGATAAACTATGGTCGTGTAAGAATTAAATGTTTTCTTGCCACAGTTTAAGATAAATCCAACATCACTGCGTAGATGCCTTCTTCGGCCTAATACTGCAGAAAACAATA